CGCGCAGAACGTGTACCCCATTATAACCCAGAACCGTACCGTTATAACGCGGAATGTGCACCGTTATAACGCGGGCTTCTGAGCGGTTAACGAGAGACTACTTTCTTGAGCTGCGCGGCTGGGCGGAGTGATACAGTCCGCGGAATGAGACAGCAACAAGGAGGTATTCCCTCGGATATTTGTCCCGCCATCTCTTTTATAAATTTCTGCTTAAAATTAATGTGCATGTATTTATATGCTTATTTATACGCGGGGTTATTCATCAGTGCATTGCGTGTGTGTGCGTGTTTTTTTATGAGCCAATTAATTATTTTACTCCCACGTTCACACGACGACATCTATTCACCAGCTCTAATTGCATTTTTACCTCATTGAGCGATTTATTTACTAATTGCATTTACAATATGCATATTTTAATTTTGAAGCGATCAGGGTATTTCCGAAAGACACTGCTGCACTGCATGCGTATTATTTTTAAAATATCTATGTTTAGATTTTTATAAACAAATACCTACAAAATATCTGCCATTACCATCGACAAATACATAGCCGAAGGTCCCCTGCATAACGCCTGTTTTATCTCCGCAGTTGGCGATGTTTACACACCGCACCAGGTACTCATTTCAGGCTGAGTCGACCCAGGGGAGGCCCAGGACCGGTTCAAATAATAGTCAGCGGTGTTGGCCGTGAGCGGGAATCGAACTCGGGTCGCCGGGTTTGTAGCGCGGCGCGCTAACCGCTACACCACCGCTCCCCACAATCAGGCCAAGACAAAGACAAAGATCCCCCGTCTAGCCTGTAACAGACTGCCGAGGCAAGTGCTGTTAGTGAGCACCTATGAAGGCTGGCACGGCACACGAGGGGGTGGGTGGCCAGCACCACGCCCGACCGCCTTTGTCTCCCCAGTGGCGATGTTTACACACCGCACCAGGTACTCATTTGAGGTTGAGTCGACCTAGGGGAGGCCCAGCACCCATCCTTATAATCGTCACCGGTATTGGCCGTGAACGAGAATCGAACTCGGGTCTCTGCCGGGTCCGTAGCGCTCACCGCCACCCCCACCACTGTTACACGTGCACACAAGACGCATGCATCACGCGGAGATCTTTGCAGAGCGCTGTGGCAAAGTGATTCTGGAGAGCGCCATGCGGACTGGCACGGCGCGCGAGCGGGCCGCGTCACCGACCACGAATCACCAACGGGTGCCGATTCAGAGGCCGTAGCTTCGCAAGCCCAAGCGGGGGGGGGGAGGGCTCATTTTGTGCTAACTAAAAGTCAGAGATCGGAAATTCGAGGGAGGGTTTGTTTTCCTTCGTTTGTTCACAAGTTCTCCGAGATGTTTTGCGGTGGATTTTTTTTTTTTACTTGGAAGCAATTCCTCGTTGCCTCCGCGTAGCCGGCTGGGACACGCGAGTCCACTGCCAAAGTAAAATGCCTTTTTTTTTTCAAATGCCGCGCAGAAAACGTCAAAACCTTTTCAGATCTGAGAATTTTTATTTTCCCCTTCCAATTTCACTGGTTGATTTTTAAAAATACCAGGTTGACTTCAATTTAAATTCATCTTTTTTTTTCATCTTAAAATTTGTTTTTTTGCGTGAAAAAAAATTCACCTTTAACCAGACGGGAGCCAACTTTTTTATGACTTCAATAACCACTCGCGTGAAATGTTCCTTCACGCTGGAGAAGAGCCGAAACGTCGAGCGCAGATTTGTCAGGATCAGAGATCCTTTGCAGTTAACATCGAGGGAGCAACACTTTCCCTACTCGTCGCACGACTGTCACAGCGATATTTCAGGCATCATCAGCGCTGGGATTTATCCAAATTTAAGTGCAGCATCTTTGTTGTTTTGTGTCGTCATTGGGTGACCGGGGCTGAGACTATCAACTCGCATCGCTTGAGACTCTAGCGGCTGCCCTCGATTCGAACCCAGGGTAGATCAGCTGTTCCGGCTTCGCACTCGACCTCTTGAGCCGCCTGGCTGCCTCGCCTCTGCTGGCGTGGGGGAATGGTGGCGCAGTGGTTGGCGAGCTCCGTGAAGAACCAGATGCCCCAAGCTCACGGCTAAAACATCAGTATCGAGCGATATCCAAACCAGTCCTGGGCCTCACCTAGGTCAGCAGGTGCTCGTGTATGATTAGTAGCCACTGCAGTGTGGAAGCATCAGCACTGGCGAGACAAAGGTGGCCCACTGCGCTACCACTTGCACGCGGCATCGGCCTTCGTAGTCGCACGCTAACAGCACTTACACGGGGGATCTTTGTGTCTGTGTGTATGTATGTTGAACTTCTTTTGCACCGCACGTAGCCAACCGTGCCAATCGGAGGTTGGCACGGTTAGTGTGTGAACGCAGGGAGCGGTAGCCTAGCGGTTAGCACGTCACAACTGCAATTCCGCTCACCTGGGTTGGATCCCTGACCGCGGCTATCATCGGCGGCGAGTGCCCTCTCAACCGCTCCTACCCACCCAGCCCACCCCGGGCTACGTAAGCGGGCGGCAGGGGACCGCGACGTCTGTGTTGCGTGCGTGCGTGCGGTTTGGGTCGCCCGCAGGCTGCTGGGGGTGGTGGCGCGGGTCTCCGGCTGCGTGCCCGCGGGCCTGCACGTGCGTCTGGCGAGCGACGGCGCGACCGTGGCGATGGACGCCGGGCGGCCGTCGGCGCTGCCGGCGGGCCTGGCCGGCGTGGTGCCGTCGGCGCGGCTGCTCGTCGCCGTGGGGGTGGTGTCGCTCCTCTACTCCCTCTGCGCCACCGTCGCCACCATCTTCTACCAGCGCAACTACCTGCGCAACAACCGCGGCCCCAAGATCGTACGTGCCCGCGTGCGCACGTGACCACGCGGCCGGAAATTGATTTAAAGCCTCGGTGCCAAATATTGCCTAAGCTCTGCCGTCCTCGATATGTATTAAGATATTTTCAGTCAATTAATGAGGGATACGAAGGCCAAATTGTGTATTGTATGGTGGTGCAATGTAACCTAAAAAAAACACAATCGTGAACCGTAATATCGATCGCGAAAATCTACGCGTTAACTTGTAAATGTGAAGAAAAACTATTAAAATGTTGGGCACGTAGCTGGGAGCGATGACACGAAGTGATGCTGAGGCTTTTATGACCAAATTAGCTCGGGGATTTATCGTGGTGTTCCAGTCTTGCATTTCAGCTGTTATTAAGCAGCGAATATTCTTGGCAGTGGCCCTCAATATCCAAGGCCTCGGGCTGCTGCCTATAAAGTCCCAGCGCTCACCCAGCCCTGGAAATCAAATTAGCATTTTGAACTACAACACACTTTGATCTGCACCGCACTCAACTTTGTTCAAACCCCATTTTAAATAGTTTTCTTCTGCATATTAAACGTGCAACGTGGTCTCCTTCTTTCGTGCAGCCCATGGAGAGCAACTGAGATATTCAGTCGCAAGTCATTTAGCCATTCAATTGCTTTGTCTGAGAGTAGGTGAATGGCAGAATCACCGATCCACCAATAAACACCCTCAATCCATCCACTCCCTCACCCACCCTATAAGGGTAAACGGATGATATTTCTTAATTCACGTTAAATGCGTATCGCACATTTTAATTCAATATATACATACTTTTCGGTATACACATCTTGGCAAGCAATCATCCAAATCTGACATAACCGCGGGCGTGTAGTGCCACATCTACGCACGTATACGTACAAGTGGGACGTCAAGCGATCGGTGTTGACAGAGGCTTAAATGCCGTTACCAGATTTGACACAGACTGCATTATTTAATGCGCGCTGGCACTGACGCTTAGAGGCACACAACTCCGATGACAGCGCGCGAGAGAGACGGTGAGAGGATGCGACGGAGGAGAACAACACGGCCACTGACGCGCACACACAGACACATCCGCAGGCAGCGCGAATGCGAAGGCAAAGGTCCACCCGCATCGCCGTGAACACACTGTTCGGGGCAAGTGCTGTCAGCGAGTAGCGAGCAGCGCCTATGAAGGCCGGCACGGCACACGAGGGGGCGAGTGGCCAGCACCACGCCCGGCCGCCTTTGTCCCACCAGCGGCGATGTCCACACGCGGCACTCAGCAGGCAGAGTCGGTGGCGAGCGTCGGTGTTTGTGCTTGCAACTCGAAGCGCACCCGTGACAGCGACCGGACACGTCTCTGGGAAGGGGAAAAACAAAGAGCTTCATGGCTCATCGGATTCCTCCGGACAAATAAATCTTCTTAACATTCCGATTTGTGAGCCGCACGGCCGCGTTAACTCCCCGCTCCCCGCTCCCCCCCGCTCCCCGCTCCCCGCTCCCCCCCGCTCCCCGCTCCCCGCTCCCCCCCGCTCCCCCCCGCTCCCCGCTCCCCGCTCCCCCCCGCTCCCCGCTCCTCGCTCCCCGCTCCCCCCCGCTCCCCGCTCCCCGCCCCCCCCCCGCTCCCCGCTCCCCGCTCCCCGCTCCCCCCCGCTCCCCGCTCCCCCCCGCTCCCCGCTCCCCGCTCCCCGCTCCCCCCCGCTCCCCCGCTCCCCGCTCCCCCCGCTCCCCCGCTCCCCGCTCCCCCCGCTCCCCGCTCCCCGCTCCCCGCTCCCCGCTCCCCGCTCCCCCCGCTCCCCGCTCCCCGCTCCCCCCCGCTCCCCGCTCCCCGCTCCCCGCTCCCGCTCCCCGCTCCCCCGCTCCCCGCTCCCCCGCTCCCCCCGCTCCCGCTCCCCGCTCCCCGCTCCCCGCTCCCCGCTCCCCGCTCCCCCCCGCTCCCCGCTCCCCGCTCCCCGCTCCCCGCTCCCCGCTCCCCCCGCAGGACGTGTCCGTGTCGCTGGTGCTCTCCCTGCTCTGGCTCCTCGCCTCGTGCCTGTGGGCCGCCAGCCTGGCTGAGCTGCGCGCCTCCCTGCAGCCGGCACACCTCGGGGCGCTGGTGCCCGCGTGCCGCGCCGCCGCCGCCGCCGCGGCCGCCGCGGCCGGGAGGGACCCCCGCGCGGCCGCTCTCCCCCAGGCCCTGCCGGCGGGGATGGCGGCGGCGAGGGGGGCAGGAGGAGGGGGAGGAGGGGGAGGCGTGGGGCGCTCGCGGTGCGAGTGGAGGTCGGCGCCGACGCTCTCCTCCCTCGTGGTGGCGGCGGTGAGTCGGGCAACGCGGCGATTCCTCCTCAGGGGGGGCCCGGCCCCTCTCTCTCTCTCTCCGCCCCCCCCCCTTCTCTTTCTCCGTGCCGCCAGCGGCCCGGGCGGGGCTCGTTTGACCGCGGTTTGGTGGGGGCAGCTGGGGTCGGGCTGGAGGCAGGGGGGAGCATGGACGTAGAAGCAAAGAAGTACAATACAACGCTAGATTTGGCTGTACTGCTCTCCACTTGTTAAAACCCCTCCTCAAAATTCGCTAAATTTCTCTTTTGGGTTTCAAAGTCGCTCCGCTACTTTTTAGTTTGTCCTCCCATTGGCCAACGTTTTATTTGTTTATAGTGGTGAACAGTACTTTATAAATGCTATAAATTATTATCACAATTACTGCCCACCACATAGCCCCGTAAGGCCTGTGACTCCTGGACATCTGTGAAAAAGAGCTTCACAGCTCATCGGATTCCTCAGAGATAAATAAACATTCTGAATAAAATAAAGATTGAGGCGACCTGCTTTGTCCATGGCGTTCACCCATCCAAGCACTACGCGAGGCTTTAAGTCCAGAAGAATCATAATCAATTTAGTAATAGTAGTAGGTTTTTACCCTTTCAACTGGTACACAACTGACACCTTTATACAAGGCATCATGTTTGCAACAACCACAACACAAGCAGTCAAAATGCAAAAAAAAGAAACAACTCTGATAATGGTAATGATATGCACTGTCCTTGAAGTTGATTGGTCCACACCCGAGACAGCTTTTCTTAGAGCCTAGTCTCCATTGGTGTTGGACCAGATGACGCCAAAAGGCGTACAACTCAAAAACAGCGCACTATCAGAGTATTGAGGACTCGGGGTAAGCATTTAATACATTTATACTGAAGGAATCCAATAAGCTATATGAAGCTGTTTTTTACAGACAGTCCTCTTGGCCTGTAAGATTCCCGATGAGATCGGCAAATACGAGTCGTGGAGCTCCGGGCTTCGGGTGGCACCATCGTGACCACGTGGCGGAGACGCGGGAAGCGCCGCGCCGAGTCCATAACGAAACGCTTCCCCCGCCGCCGTCGCCCGCAGGTGTTCGGCTTCATCAACTGGCTGCTCTGGACGGGCAACGTGTGGTTCGTCTACAAGGAGACGGGCTGGCGCGCGCCGTCCCTGCGGCCCCTGCTGCGCCACGGCTCCGCGTTCTGCGCCTCCGAGCCGGACCTCGCCGCGTCCACCCGGAGGGGCGACCGCGGCGGCGGCGGCGGAGCCGCGGCATCCTCGGCGATCGGCGACCGCGACTTCGAGCGGGCCGCCGGCGACCACGTGCTGATCGACCTGGGCGGGCAGCTGGGCACGAGCCCCAAGGCGCGGCTCCTGCAGCCGCAGGTGTCGTACCACGAGTACGACAACCCGTGCTACACGCACGGCGAGGACCCCCCGCTCGCGGAGGCCAGGGCGGCGGTGACGGCGGCGGCGGCGGGCCCGGCGGAACGCAAGGGCGACGCGCGGATGATGCTGGCCGAGGAGGTGCAGGAGGTCCTGTACCGGCGGCTGGGCGTGGCGGCTCTGCCGGCAGAGACGGTCGCGACGCTCGCCTCGCTGTCGCCCTCCTCGGTCGTCCTGTCGTTCTTCTCGACGACTTTCTGGACGCCGGCGGCGGCGGGGGGGGAGGGCACGGGGGCGGCCGGGCTGGCGCAGGCCACCGGGCGCCCCCCGCGGGCTCGGGGCGCGCGCCTCTCAACGGGACACAGCTTCTCGGCCGACGACGAAGACGAAGACGACGAGGACGACGGCGGTGACGATGGCAAAGACATCGACGGCACGCAGCGCCCCAAGAAGGTGTACGTGAGCATCCCCAAGCTGGAGTGCCACGACGACGATGACGATGACGACGAAGACGTCGACGGGCACGGGAGCGGTGGCAGCGGCGGAAAACGCGCCCGACCGAAGATCGTCCACCCTAGCGCCGTCCGGAAGGCGGACGGCGCGGAGGAGGCGAGCAAACGCGATGCCGCTATCATCGACGACCTCATCAAGAAGGGCTACCTCATCGTGCAAAACGACGGGTGCGGCAAGAGCGGCGGCGACGACGACGATGGCGCGGGAGGTCGCCAAACCCGCCTGCGGAGACAGCACCCCATCGCCAAGAGGAAGTACGCGAGCGGCGGGAGCCAGAGGTCCGCGCTGGGCCGCCAGAGCCTGGACGCCGGCGGCAGCAGGTTCTACTGCGACGACGGCGACGGCGGCCTAGCCGACCCGCACGAAGCGCGGGCCAGGAAAATTCACGTGAGCGTGCAGCGGCGCCGCTCGACGGGCGCGCGCAGCCTCAACGACGTCGACTTCGACGACGAGGGCAGCCGGGAGGTCGGCTCCTACGGGGGCGACGCCGGGGGCGGCGTCAGCAGCGCCGAGGAGATCATGGTATCCTGCGGTTGGGGCTCACGGCGCGGCGGCGGCTCCGGCATCGGCGGTGGCGGCGGCTCCGGCATCGGCGGTGGCGGCGGCTCCGGCATCGGTGGCGGCGGTGGCGGCGTCGCGGTCGTGAAGGCGGTGCGGCCGGCGTCTCCGACGCGGAGGTCCAGCGCGACTCTGTCTCGGCCGCGCTGGGCCGAGAGCCGCAGCTGCAACTCAACCGACACGCTCAGGGTGGACGCGGCCACGTGCGCGGGCTCGTCAGGCGGGTCCATGAGGCTCAAAAGCCCCGAGCGAGCCTGGGGTGAGCGTCGGGCAAGCTCCGTGCGTCACCACCACGCGGCGGCCGGCGCCGGGACGGAGCGTTTTAAAGGCGAGGCCGGCGGGGACGCCAGGGACGCCAGGGGCGAGGGTGGGGGCGTGCGCAGCCGGGGAAGGTCGACAGACGGGCGGGGAAGAGAGGGCGGCGCCGGCGCCGGCGCCGACGGCGGCGGCGTTGATAGGGGACGGTCGATGGACGGGAGAAGGAAAAACAGCGTCGACGTCGTCGTCGACAGGGGGAGATCGATGGACGGCCGCGGTAAAGACAGCAGCGGTTGCAACGAAGTCAGGGGCGGTGACCAACTTGGCAACCGGCTGAACTTGAACAGGACGAGTGACTACATGTTCGAGAGACGCAACAGCACGAGCAGAATCTCGGCACGCAGCGAGAGCAGGAACCTGATCGTGACGAACGGCGGCGGCGGCGGCGGACCGCGGAACGCCGCGTCCAGCGGCTACGCCACGTGGGCCACGGCGGGCACGGCCGCGATAAGAACGTCGGCCAGCGCGGGTGACCAGAGGAACATGGCCAGCGGTGCGGTCACGTCGGCCACGGCGTCGGCCACGGCGTCGGCCACGGCGTCGTCGTGGAGCAGGAGGGACTCGGACGAAACGACGGGACCGGCGCGGCGGAGATGCAGCCGCGAGCGCAGCCGCGAGCGCGGCCGCACCGCCGCCCCGCGGAGGAAGCGACGCAGCGCCACGGTGGAGGGGGCCCCGCGGCACGCCGAGGACGACGAAGCGGCACGGCCCGTCGGCCGAGAGGCGCGGGGGGAGGGGTCGACGGCGGCCACGGCTACGGCGACGGCGGCGGCGACGGCGGCGGAGAAGCAGTGGTGGTGGCGGCGGGCGGCGGCCGACGCGACGGAGACATGGGGGGTCGACACGCTGCTGCCCGACCCCGAGAGGTGGCGCCGGCACGGGTGGTGGCGCGGCGGGCCGAACGATGTCCAAAGCGAGCGGCACGGCGATGACAGCAGCGAGGGCGACAGCGACGACGATGGCGGCAGAGTCGGCAATGAACAATACGTGTACGCTGCCAAACGGAGGCCGTCCACCAGAATTGAGAATTTGTAAAGATGGCAACAACAACAACAACAACAAAAAACAACGCGTGTACAGAGTTGAGTGTGCTGGCTTGTGTGGGTGCGATGTCAGGGGGCGGGGTCAGGATTTGCACATGAAACTCCCACGGTTCATTCGCTGCAAGTATGTTTTGTTTGAACACGTTTAAATACGCAAAGGAAGCGAGGCTGCGTGCATTCACCTCGCGTAACGACAGGGGTTACGTTACAGTGACCCTGTGGTTTGATGTCAAAGCCTGGTTCAGATGAAGTCGAATGGTGCCATATTTCTGGACCGTTGCTTTTTCCAAATGTTATGCAAAATCCTTTTAAATTGCACACAACCCGCCTCACTTGTGTCGCTTTTGTTTTCACACTAAATGGAACCAGGCAGAAATGTAGGCGAGGTAATATTGCCTGCTCAGCGCATCAAACTAAAACAGTGTTAAGGTATTTAGGATAATCAAGTTTACACGAGGAAATGTGTCAAAAAGAAATAAGTTGGGCATGTTATTTACCTTAAATAATATTTACTCATCCAGTTGTCTAATTAAAACTCTCCACGACTTCATCCAATCACTACTATACTGTTGCTAGTACTCTACAACAACAAAAGTTTTGTATCCCCTTATTTTTTCCATTTTTTTTCCAATATAACGTAGCAACAAGGCTTTGAACATGTTTTTAAAGTGGCACAGCAGAACGTTTGCGACACAGCATGACAAAGAAACAACGTGCACGCAATGAATGCATGCGGTTTTTTATTCCCCTGCTTGCAAACGGGATGGCATCTTAATCCAACAGTAAAACAACAACAACAACAAAGTTGTTATTATATTCTTTGGGTCTTTCGGTAAAGTCACGTAGATAGGTTCAAATAAAAATAACCAAAAAACTACGACGTTTCGATCGCAACACAAGCGGTCCCCCCCCCCCCTTTTTCATGATGACGACCGCTTGTGTTGCGATCGAAACGTCGTAGTTTTTTTTATTTGAACCTATCTACGCGACTTTACCGAAAGACCCAAAGAATAGGAATTCCTGCAGTCACGAAAGCTTTAAGTCAAGATTTTAAGGTGTTATTACCTTAAACTAATGTCGATGACCTTTTGTTCGATCCAACAATCGACGGAAACACCGTTGTGACATGAAGTTGCACGCTGCTCTGCAACTTTGTTGGAACCAAGCTTTGAAATGTGTTGCCCCCCCCCCCCCCCATACGTAACACAACGTTCTGATTGGCTGGTCGTGGTCACGTGGTCAGCACGTGGCGATGCTAAATCCAACATGGCAAGGGAAAAAATGTCATGCATGTGGCACAAAGGCATTCTCTCTATTCTATGGAAATGTTCGATAAGAGAGGCAAATAATATATGTGATGATAAGCAACTTACGTAGCTTAGTGAATCATAGTAATCGTATTTATTTATCGTAAATGCCTGCTTGCAGCCACGCCACCTGCAGAATCACCCAACGGCAGTCAAAAGGCAATCACGCGATCCAAATCACGTGCACCCTATTGGCAGAGACATGTCACGTGGCTGAGTGGCCGAGTGATCGAGTGGGCGTGGCTATGTAAAAGTAGGTGGGGCCGAAAGAGGGGAAGGTGGGGACTTCCAGCTCACCGCGTGTCCATGTTGAGCCTCCCAGAAATGGTGTCTCTTTACATTAACCCTTTCGCATTCCGAGACATCTGCAAATTGCAGGGTGGGTGGTGGTATCCCGTTCACCGCTGAATCCCGTAACGCGTAAGCGGCTCAGCGTTCATTGTATTTGTAGGGGCGTAGCGCCCTTGGAAGAACAATTGATGACGTACACATACGTATGTTAGCGGAACGGGAAAGGGTTAAGCATCACCCTTGTAACCGAGGGCAGTGGCATCGCATGCATCCCTCATGCGCTGTTGTCATGTTGTTGTCCTGCGTGACGTACAAGGCTCACAATTGGACGGTTGCGAATTCAATTTCCGATCAGGGGGTGACTCGGCCCATTGTCCCTTTAGATCCAACACCTTACGCAATGACTGGTGGGACGTCGATGGAGGCTGTCCTATGGACATTCTGGCTACCCGCCATAGGAATGTGTGCCGGATCAATATTCCTAGTAGAGTTTAGTTAGCATGGAAGTTGAATGTATACTACTACGACTCGCAAATTGGCAGATAATGCACGTGCATCGGGGCAGGCTTAGGCACTCGCTGTGGGTTATAAAAGCTAATCGCAAATGTTTTATGCAGGGACATCGTAACAGGGATGCGACACAGGATGCCATTACCATTGAGATTTAAAAGAAAAGAATAAAAAAAGTAGTCCTCCCTGTTGTCAGCCACACTGTGTTGCAACAACTTTATTAAAAGTTTGTATCCGCCTGGCGTTTCCGCGGGATTAGCGTGCCACTAAGTCTTGACCTGCTGTTGCCCATCTGCTCGCCTGGGTATGAGCAATTTCCCTCATTTGAAAAGAATGGGGCTTAGTGGACACTTTAGGCATGCTGCTAATACTTGATAGCTGATAAAAAAAAATTGCCCTTTTGAATTTAATTTAAAGTCCAAAGTAAAGACGCAGACACTAATTTGTTTTGTGAGCTGAATTCATAATATCCACTCCAAAAAAAAGATTGCCTTCCCTCGCCTCTGCCCTCCCAGCAGTATGAATAGGTAGTCTGCAGTCAGTTGATCGGCAGGTCGCGTATGGTGGGGCAAAGTGTGTGTATTTTCACCTCTACCAAGATTATCGCTTTGTGCAAAGATATCCATCGTCATCCTGTGGCAAAAACTGGCACTAATCATAAAAAAAACTGTAGAATACTTCACAAGTGGCCCAGGACTCGATAAAGATCTAAGCAGGCTCCGCTTTGAGTTAAGGATTGCAAATCTAACTAAAACATTCTTGCGGCAATGCATTCTGGGAGTAGTTGTACAGACACGCCGGGCAATATGGCCGTAATGAAAGATAAAAACCACTGCCATTAATCAGGTGAAGTGCTGTAAATTTTATTGTTTTTGGCCAATAATTAGTATCTACGTTGGTTTAAAGATTACTAAAAAAAAAAAGAAATGTAGTGTTTGTGTTTGATTACCATGGTCAGTAATTGGTTATTAATGATATCTGTTTGATTACTTGAGATAAACGCATGCAGCTTTCACCAGTGATTGGCTAAATTTAATGTTTGATTTTTTGAAAGGTAATAATTATCATTGCAGGCACTTTGCCTGCTCTCCCTCCCCCCAACTGTGATTTGTGCATGGCTGTTTGTGCTTTGAATTTGAAAATAAAAGACGGGCGACTGGGAGGTGTCTTGGTGGCTCGGGGCTCACGATGGCCGTGTCAGCGCGCACAGCCGATAGATCGTGAGCTCAATTTCATACCGCCACATGTCTCAAGCCGGTTAGCAATGACCACACTTAACAATAATCCTGTAAATTTGATTATTTTTTGTTGTTGCTTAATTTGGCACGGTTCTTTTCGGTTTGATTGCCATGCGACAAACGGAATATTATGCAGGGGGGGGTTTAAGGGTGCCCTGGCCAGTGTGGATAAGAGGCCCCATGAAGTGGATTCAGAAGTAATTCTGTAGCATCTACTTCCAGGGGGAGAGTTTCTGACACGGGGAACAACAGTTCGGTGCACCGCTTGCCCGTGAGAGTTCTGAATTTTAAAAAATGACGTTGCCTCGGATCGTAACGTTTTTGCCGATAAAAAACAATTGTTATAAATAAATAAATAAACTGATGATGGAGATGGGTGAACGGCTCAGGGGACTCATAATGACCGTGTCAGAGCACCGAGCAAGTGCCCGCTGTAGATCCTTTCAAATCCCACGCTCCCATCTGTGATTAAACCAGTTCAAGTGTAGCCGGTTTGATGACGGTCTTAGCCCAGTTATCAATGACTGCTTTAAAAAAAACCGTCATTAAAATAAGTAAACCATTGATTTTGTGCCCGTATTGGTTAAGACCGTTTATGATGATTTATTTACGAGCTGGGGAGCAGAGCAAATTGCGGCTACAGGGAATGCCATCTAGCGGCTGGGTAACCATAGAGGCCCTCGAAGAGAGTCGGTGAATGCCCTGACACGATGCGTGGTGACATAATGAGGCTCTGCTCCCTACAGAGGGGGGTCTGGATTGGATCTTAAGTTCGTTTCTAAAATTGTTTTTTTTTGTGTTTTTTTTTGTTTATCAAAGAAAAAGCCTCGCTGAATCTCAGGACTCTTTTATTTCTGCAGGAGAGTCCTTCGTCGGAATATTTGGGCAAAGTTCCATTGGCGCGCACGTTTCATTTGCGTGCGAGGAAACCGAGCAGAGAAACCCGTAACACGTCCTCAGAGCAAACGAACGAATACGTCGCGGTCACTCCAGCAACCTGCCATTGCTGTACGGCCATCTCATGCTCGCGCAAGGCTGATAGTCTCGCTGGATGAGCCACCAGCCCTGCGTGATTGCATCCATTGTTGTCAGTACGTCCAGAAAAGAGACATCAGGCGTGGCCTGGGGGAAAAAAACAACTTGATAACCCACGAATACAGTCCTCGTTTAACGCGGTAAATGCGTTCCTGAAAAGCGCCGCGTGTTACAATGTGCCACTACGCACACATGGTGAGCTGGCGGGACAAATAAATGAGGGAACACCGTCGCGTTGCTGTATCATTCCGCGTACTGCACCGCACCGCTCAGTCGCCCAGCTCAAGAAAGTAGTTCGTCATTGTCCGCTCAGAAACCGCGTTATAACGGAGCGCACGTTCCACCTCATTACGTTGCACTCACTCCGCGTTAAAACAGTGCGCGCAATCCGCGTTGTGCGAAAAGTATTCCCTGATGGAAGAACCGCGTTGCAACGACAACCCGTTATAGTGTGGACACCACGCGTTAAGCGAGGACTTACCGTGTACATGGACCTGACGACCCACGTGTTTTAAGATCAGCCGTGCGAGAGTCGCGAGACGCATTAGTTCGCGATGTTGCACTGCCAGTGGTGCACAAGCAATGGTTCTTCATAACATTACTAATCAATAATAGCACATGTTCATAGTACATACACCCTTGTGTGCTATGAATAAGTGATATCATGGGCCATGGCCTGAAATGTCACGTGATATATTTTTCAATTTACGGCCAATGTGTTAATGAGGAATGTGCAGAGTTTTTTTTCATTAGAACACTTTAACAACTATCCACTTTTGCAAGGGGGGTTTTTCTTCATTAAATTATCTTCCCACACTTGGCCGCAAAACAATCATTTTAATATTTCACTTGATTCATCCACTTAATCTCTCCTATGCAGCAAAAGTCTACATTCTGCAGAAATAACTTATACGGGTTATGAATATCTATATATTTTTCCCAGGAGTGTTCTTGCTCTGTATATTAATTGAGTGATGGCCAATGCCAATGGGACCCAGAATCAAATATCTAGAAATTAAAATATGAATCCAGGAAAAGTTTACTGAGTCTCAAAACTTATTCAGGAGGGTGCTGCGTGGGGCTGTTTGACCCATTCCATTCAGAACGATTTGGCTTGTGGGAATAAACTACGGTACCTGGAGACAATCCACTACTACTAGGGTACAATACTCAAAGAAGCTCCGCACAGACGAATTCAAGAATCCGCTCTGTGTACTGCCACGGTGGCGAGACGTCCACTCCCCTAGCCTGCGTGTTCTCTCTGCCCGTGGTCGCGTGAGAATTTATCTGGGTCCATCCACACGTAGGAAGGTGCGTGCAGAGCAGTGGTGCTTCACCTGGAGTGCACGCTGCACCCTCTGGAGGTGCGGGGTGCCCTTTCTGGGGGTGCCGAGACGTGGCCAGATTTTTGTTCGAGGTAAATCATCGAAAACACAAATTAAGCACGGGCACGAAAGTACAACTATTTTGATTAATGAACCCCCGTGTATTTGTTAACGTTGTAACAAATGTAACGATTGAGGACCAAACGGGGTGCAAGGTTGCTACAGTAAAGGTTAAGAGCCACTGGTTTAGAGTATTTGGCTGCTATAAATGTCCACGTGATGAGTCACTTCGTTGAGCTATCATTTGTGGCCAGGTCGTTTCT